TAATAATATGTCACACTAAATTACCACTGTGTCACACTGAATTACCACAGTAATACTATGTCACACTGAATAACCACTGTATCACATTGAATTACCACAGTAATACTATGTTACACTGAATTACCACAGTAATACTGTGTCACACTGGATTGCCACAGAATTACCACAGTAATTTTATGTCACACTATGTCACACTGAATTACCACAGTAATACTGTGTCACACTAGATTACCACAGAATTACCACAGTAATACGTTGTCACACTGGATTACCACAGAATTACCACAGTAATGCTATGTAACACTTAATTATCACAGTAATACTGTGTTACACTGAATTAACACAGTAATACTATGTCATACTGAATTACCACTGTGTCACACTGAATTACCACAGTATTACTGTGTCACACTGAATTACCACAGTAATACTATGTCACACTGAATTATCACAGTAATACTATGTCACACTGAATTACCACTGTGTCACACTGAATTACCACAGTAATACTATGTCACACTGAATTACCACAGTAATACTGTGTCACACTGAATTACCACAGTAATACTATGTCACACTGAATTACCACAGTAATACTATGTCACACTGAATTACCACAGTAATACTGTGTTACACTGAATTACCACAGTAATACTATGTCACACTGAATTACCACAGTAATACTATGTCATACTGAATTACCACAGTAATACTATGTCACACTGAATTATCACAGTAATACTATGTCATACTGAATTACCACTGTGTCACACTGAATTACCACAGTATTACTGTGTCACACTGAATTACCACAGTAATACTATGTCACACTGAATTATCACAGTAATACTATGTCACACTGAATTACCACTGTGTCACACTGAATTATCACAGTAATACTATGTCACACTGAATTACCACAGTAATACTGTGTTACACTGAATAACCAATGTAATACTGTGTCACACTGAATTATAACGGTAATAATGTGTCACACTGAATAACCACAGTAATACTCTGTCACACTGGATTGCCACAGAATTACCACAGTAATACTATGTCACACTGAATTACCACAGTAATACTGTGTCACACTAGATTACCACAGAATTACTACAGTAATATTGTGTCACACTGGATTAACACAGAATTACCACAATAATACTATGTCACACTGAATTACCACAGTAATACTTTTACACTGAATTACCACAGCAATACTCTGTCACACTGAATTATAACAGTAATACTGTGTTACACTGAATTATCATAGTAAGACTGTGTCACACTGAATAACCACAGTAATACTGTGTCACACTGAATTACCACAGAATTACCACAGTAATACTATGTCACACTAAATTACCACAGTAATAATATGTTACACTGAATTACCACAGATATATTATGTCACACTGAATTACCACTGTGTCACACTTAATTACCACTGTATCACACTGAATTATCACACTAATACTACGTCACACTGAATTACCACAGTAATACTATGTCACACTGAATTACCACAGTTAAACTATGTCACACTGAATTACCAGAGTAATACTGTGTCACACAGAATTACCACACTAATACTATGTTACACTGGATTACCATAGAATTACTACAATAATACTGTGTCACACTAAATTATCACATTAATACTGCGTTACAATTATTTACCAATGTAATAATGTGTTACACTGAATTACCACAGTAATACTATGTCACACTGAATTATAACAATAACACTGCGTTAAACTGATTTACCACAGTAATACTATGTCACACTGAATTACCATTGTGTCACACTGAATTACCACAGTAATACTATGTCACACTGAATTACCACAGTAATACTGTGCTACACTGAATAACCAGTGTAATACTGTGTCACACTGAATTATAACGGTAATAATGTGTCACACTGAATAACCACAGTAATACTGTGTCACACTGGATTGCCACAGAATTACCACAGTAATACTATGTCACACTGAATTACCACAGTAATACTGTGTCACACTAGATAACCACAGAATTACCACAGTAATATTGTGTCACACTGGATTAACACAGAATTACCACAGTAATACTATGTCACACTGAATTACCACAGTAATACTTTTACACTGAATTACCACAGCAATACTCTGTCACACTGAATTATAACAGTAATACTGTGTTACACTGAATTATCACAGTAAGACTGTGTCACACTGAATAACCACAGTAATACTGTGTCACACTGAGTTATCACTGTGTCACACTGACATACCACAGTAATAATATGTCACACTGAATAACCAGAGTAATACTGTGTCACACTGAATTACCACAGAATTACCACAGTAATACTATGTCACACTGAATTACCATAGTAATAATATGTTACACTGAATTACCACAGATATATTATGTCGCACTGAATTACCACTGTGTCACACTTAATTACCACTGTATCACACTGAATTATCACACTAATACTACGTCACACTGAATTACCACAGTAATACTATGTCACACTGAATTACCACAGTTAAACTATGTCACACTGAATTACCAGAGTAATACTGTGTCACACAGAATTACCAGAGTAATACTGTGTCACACAGAATTACCACACTAATACTACGTCACACTGAATTATCACACTAATACTACGTCACACTGAATTTCCACACTAATACTATGTCACACTGAATTATCACAGTAATACTGTGTCACACAGAATTACCACACTAATACTATGTTACACTGGATTACCATAGAATTACTACAATAATACTGTGTCACACTGAATTATCACAGTAATACTGTGTCACACTAAATTATCACATTAATACTGCGTTACAATTATTTACCAATGTAATAATGTGTTACACTGAATTACCACAGTAATACTATGTCACACTGAATTATCACAGTAATACTGTGTCACACAGAATTACCACACTAATACTATGTTACACTGGATTACCATAGAATTACTACAGTAATACTGTGTCACACTGAATTATCACAGTAATACTGTGTCACACTAAATTATCACATTAATACTGCGTTACAATTATTTACCAATGTAATAATGTGTTACACTGAATTACCACAGTAATACTATGTCACACTGAATTACCACAGAATTACCACAGAAATACTATGTTACACTGTATTACCACAGTAATACTATGTCACACTGAATTATCACAGTAATACTATGTCACACTGAATTATCACAGTAATACTGTGTTACACTGAATTCCTACAGTAATACTACGTCACACTGAATTACCACTGAATTAACACAGTAATACTATGTTACACTGAATTATAACAATAACACTGCGTTAAACTGATTTACCACAGTAATACTATGTCACACTGAATTACCATTGTGTCACACTGAATTACCACAGTAATACTATGTCACACTGAATTATCACAGTAATACTGTGTCACACAGAATTACCACAGTAATACTATGTTAAACTGGATTACCACAGAATTATCACAGTAATACTATGTCACACTGAATTACCACAGTAATACTATATCACAGGGAATTACCACAACAATATTATGTCACACTGAATTACCACTGTGTCACACTGAAATACACAGTAATAATATGTCACACTGAATTACCACTGTGTCACACTGAATTACCACAGTGATACTATGTCACACTGAATTACGACAGTAATACTATATCACACTGAATGTTCACAGTAATACTATGTCACACTGAATTACTACAGTAATACTATGTCACACTGAATTACCACAGTAATACTATGTCACACTGAATTACCACAGTAATACTGTGTCACACTGGATTACCACAGAATTACCACAGTAATACTATGTCACACTGGATTACCACAGAATTACCACAGTAATACTATGTCACACTGAATTACCACAGTAATACTACGTCACACTGAATAACCACATTAATACTGTGTCACACTGAATTACCACAGAATTACCACAGTAATACTCTGTCACACTGAATTATAACAGTAATACTGTGTTACACTGAATTACCACAGTATTACTGTGTCACACTGAATTACCACAGTAATACTATGTCACACTGAATAACCACAGTAATACTGTGTTACACTGAATTACCAGTAATAGTATATCATACTGAAATACCACAGTAATACTATGTCACACTGAATTACCACAGTAATAATATGTCACACTGAATTACCACTGTGTCACACTGAATTACCACAGTATTACTTTGTCACACTGAATTACCAGTAATAGTATATCACACTGAAATACCACAGTAATACTATGTCACACTGAATTACCACAGTAATACTATGTCACACTGAATTACCACAAAAATACTATGTCACACTGAATTACCACAAAAATACTATGTCACACTGAATTACCACTGTGTCACACTGAATTACCACAGTAATACTGTGTCACACTGAATTACCACAGTAATACTCTGTCACACTGAATTACCACAATGAAAGTTTGTTATCGCTTTCTGTAAGAAAATAATGTGTGATTTGTTTCCGAATTTTGCTGTAGGGTCCCTTTTGTCCATAGTCTTGCCATTTTTAATGTATGGCTGATCAGAGATATAAAATGAACGGCGGGCAGCCATCCTATACATGTATTTCATAGATTGTAAAGGATACGCAACAGACTTTTCAGCCCCTGATGAAAATTCGAGTCTGTGACTAAATTTCATGGTGAATGTTTCACAGGAATCTAGAAACAAAAATATGTATGTATACATTTTGTGTACAAATACATTCATTATTATAGTAGTAGATTTTTTGACACAAAAAGTGTTCGTACGTAATTTGTTGAAGTAAACATGCTACTAGTCACACTGTTTTATCAGTCCGTTTTCGGCCATCGTAAATAAGGTGTCGGATTGCACATTTTTATTCATTTACAAAACGCTTTATTGTGAAATGACATAGCATTTCCTAGAATCTGAACGAAATTTTATTTGATATTTTAAGGAATTGGAGCGTCGTCTGGAGAGCATTGGAAACAAACTCGGACTTTTTCACTGATGACTCTTCGGGGTTTTGGGTTTGGCAGAAAAATCTTGGAAACCAAGGTGAAGGAAGAGGTTACTGCCTACTTGGAAGTCCTTGAGGAACAGAAGGGGCAAGCTTACGATGCTAAGGATCTAACCCGAATAGCAGTCTCGAATATAATATGTAGCATTGCTTTTGGTAACAGGTATGAATACACCGATAAAAAGTTCAAACACTTGACTGCTCTTTTGAATGAGAATTTCAGATTGAATTCTGTTGCCGGGGCAATACGACAATTGCCATGGTTACGTTTCCTGCCGGGAGATGCATTCAACATTAAGAAGTTTCATAGGAATGGTGATCAAATAAAGGAATTCGCAAACGATCAGATAGCTGAACATCGAGCAACGTATGACGAAAATAATCCTCGAGATTTTATTGATGCCTTTCTGCAACAACAGAGAAAAACGGACCGGAACCATCCTATTTTTGAGGGTACGTAAGTATAACTACATGTGATTAAGTCGAAGTTGATTTGGTCAACGATATTCTTTGTAAACTCTCTTATTGATTTTCTGTCATTCAGCGTGAAAGATTTTTTCACAGACGAATTGATCAGCTATTCGAAAATTTGTTTTTATCTTTTACAAAACGAAAATCAGATTTCCGATTTTTCGTCACAGTTGTTGTGTGATTAGGATTGATTTCGAATGTAGCTTTAACGGAAAATTACAGAAACTATTCAATATACTCCTACATATAAATAAATCCATAAATTATCAACGAAATATATTTCGATTTTTGTTGGAATACAGTTTAAAACATCTCATTTTTCCAGACAACAACCTAGCAGCCTCCATTAAGGACTTATTTTCAGCAGGCACTGAAACAACTTCCGCCATGATTAGATGGTCAATACTTTACCTTCTACATAACAAAGACATCCAGGATAAACTTCGACAGGAGATAGAAACAGTTGTCGGGACCTCCAGACTTCCGTCTCTCGACGATAAACCCGCCATGCCGTATTATGAGGCATTCATTATGGAAGTCCTTCGGATGGGAAACATTGCACCTCTGTCTGTGGGTCATGGGGCTAGGACGGACATCCGATTTAGGGGGATGGTCATTCCAAAAGGCTCAGTCATAATTCCAAATCTCGATTCGGTCATGAGCGATCCGACTTTGTTTGAGGATCCTCTGCAATTCAACCCAGAGAGATTTCTTGGAAAAGACGGAAATGTCGTCGGCAAAAAAACAATGGCTATGGCTTTCTCATTAGGTAATATACATCATTTTAATTTAATACCATCACATTAATCGTGATGTCTTAATCAGCTATGTTTGTTAGCCTGTAAGCGAAGACAAATCGTATTACAGTGTTAAATTTAATTTCTAGCAGAAATTAATGAAAGTGACGGCATCCATTCAATCATTATATTCAAACAGGAATCAACCCAGTCTGATGTAATGCCAATTAATCCATCCTGCATTGTCTTACGGACAAACGTGGTTAGTACCCCTGGGTCAAAACCCACTGTAACCAATCATAGAATATATTTATTTTTGGAAACATCTGAGTTTTATATCATCATACGTGCAAACTGTTTATCAAATAACTACCCTGATCTAGGTGCAATAACATCTATTAAACAAATTGTGTTATGACCATCCATGTTATAAAATAGATAGGCTCCACAGTTAAAAGTGTGTGGCGTGATAAATTCATCAGTACAATTGCATCAAATAAAGAGATGCGATTGAAGGAATAATCCTAATTTCTATTTTTAAATTAGTCTAATTAAAGACTGTCTTTCATCGATGTTCGGAAAACTGTTATAAACAAAATGAACATTGCTTCCATTTTATAAGAAAGTTTTGAAATCCTTCGGAAATTTTATTCATATCACCATAGGCTACATGGAATGTTAGACCATTTTGGAAACATATTATATGTGATATGCATTTCAATCATAGAATATTTAGAAAGGAACGTGGAAGTCTTCATAAGACATATGATTGAATATGGAAGTTGTGATAAGACATATAATTGAATATGGAAGTGGTGATAAGACATATAATTGAATATGTAAGTTGTGATAAGACATATATTTGAATATGGAAGTTGTTATAAGACATATATTTGAATATGGAAGTTGTTATACGACATGTAATTGAATATGTAAGTTGTGATAAGACATTTTTTATTAATGATATATCTCACTTACTTTGAATCGTTTGCTATTTTCCAGGACGGCGAATGTGCCTTGGACAATCTTTAGCGAAGATAGAGATGTTCTTGTTCATTACAGCATTAATACAAAGGTTTGAGTTTCTACCGGAAAACCCGGACAAACTGCCATCACTTGAAGGCATCGTTGGATTATCAAGGACCCCAGCAGCCTATAAATTCCGTGCTGTATATCGCCACTAAATGACGAGTCAAAACAGAATTCCGGATAATATTGAATGAATCCGAACAATATTTTGTATACATGTTATATCATAAACAAAAGCGTAATATCGCATCACTCTTTTTTAATCGGGTGTCCGTAGAGTTTTAAAACATCTGGCAATGGTCAGATCTGTTTGTGTTTAATAACAAATTCAGATTGTGTGTGTGGTCATCCCAATTGTGTTTTTAAAGCTGAACGGTCACGTCACATTTTCTCTCCTTTTTTTCATTTTAAAAGAAGAGTTCCGTTATGAATTCTGGAAATTACCTTCTATCCTGTTTGTGTATCTCTGTTAAACAACGCACGCTATCTTCACGGTTTTTAGATCTTGTTCCTCGTTAGTCAGATTAAGACAATTTTGTACCACATCTTGTTCTAAAATTCGACTTTCTCAGTTTTGTATTTAAGAAGTACTTACACCATATAATTTTGTCGCATACAGTACCTAGAATTCTTGTAATGGGGTTTTCATGACTATTTTTTAGCTAAGCAAATTATAAGATGTTGTGGCTATCTATGCAAATGTGTTTATTATATATTTTTATATCTATTAGATACAAACTTATTTTCTTCTTATCTTTCCTTAAATTATGTAGGTCGGTGATGAAACATTTTTATTGTTTATGTGCATGAGCTGCAGATTGTCTGGTTAATATATAGACTCTGTAAATAAATCCTTCGACAAGTAAATCATTGTACAGTGTAACACTAGGACAACCATAAAATCGAGGTCATGTGTGTGTTTAGGTCATTTGAAGGTTGGTAGCTCTGTGACTGTAAATGAAAACTGTAAACTACTATAAAAGGTTATGATTTAATGTCCCTGCCATGCTACTTAGGGTTCATTTTTGACAATCTACACACATTAATCCTTCTTAGCAGCCATGGTTAAAGATAACACTTTTTTAAATATATGAAAATATAACATAAGTCGCTGTAGTTTCTGCTGCTACATTTCTAACAAATGTCATTTCTATAAAATGCATAAAGAGGCGCAGTTCTGAAAGCAATTAATCCATAAGACCATTCAAATAACTAAAAATTAAATATTTCAGTGCATGCCTTTACAGTGAATACGGATAAATTGACCAGGTATTTGAATACAGTGTGTATTTATCTGACCATGAAAGTATATCTATTATCACGACGTAACAAAATAACTGTTTATACTAACCAGAAGTCTTTTGTTCAAAATATTAATCTGTGCTTAATATTGAAAAAGAATGTCCCGTGGTTTAAAAAAGAATTAGTGCAAGGGAGATCACTCTTACAAATGTCATATTCTCAAATTATGAAGATTGTGACGCTATGAGATAGTATATATATTGTGATAATCCCATTTTCTATACTTCTCACTGTGATCTTCAATATCTGTGGTTTACATTTTTTTTTTAATTTTTGCCTATATATTGTGATAATCCCATTTTCTATACTTCTCACTGTGATCTTCAATATCTGTGGTTTACATTTTTTTTTTAATTTTTGCCTGTCTCGATTTTTCTATTTAACACTTTCTAAACATTAACTTATAATTATATGCGATATTCTGCGAATGATTTCAGGTTATTTTTCAGCATAAATATTTTCCTAAGGAAAAAAATTCATTCGATCACTACGAAGTCTGAATTTGTGAAAATGTACCGTGAAAAATTATTAGCTTTAGTTGTTACCAGAGAATTACTTAAAAGTAGCTGACTTTACATCAACAGAATGATAATTGAAATATTTACTTATGTAATTGAATGATTATCAACGGTAAATGAAAGTCGAGAAAAAAAGAAATGATATTCGACACATTGGATAATTATTGTTTGTTTATGGACATCATTGATATGCTTTATATATTAATATCTATGCAAAGCTGTGGTCAGTAGCACATAATATATGCACATCCATTTTTTATTTTGATTTATTTTTATTATTATTATTGACAATCCAAAGTCCTGTGATCTACGTTTTCTTGTTGATTGCGTCATCAATAATATACTTCCTATATCAGCATCCCTCCATACCATCCCTATATAGTACTTACCATAGTAAACCTCTCTGTAGCGGTAATGTATTGCAATTATGACGCAGCCTTTCAGTAACTATATATTACATTCTGTATTGAACACAGCGTTGGTAATGAGTAATTGTCATCTAAATCGGCAATGAAGCAGACAACTCATTCATTACACAGTAATATCATGTTCCTTGTTTCTGCAAATGTTTCTATTTGTCGCTATATTGCCTGTGTTTATTTTGTTTCAGAATTATGATTTTGTGTACAAATCAGTATTAAATTGTTATGTGTATGTATTAATGATCCATTTGTTTTATACATCAATTACATGAATAATTTGAGCGTATGAATATTTGTAAATGAATTGATATACTAGATACGGCATGTTCTACGGTTTAAATTTTAGAATGGTCTTCTTTTTCAATAATTTGGAGCTGATGAAAAATAATTGAAACTGAAATATTTACTTTAAAACGAAGGGGAGATAAGCTAACATATTACACAACACAATGAGGTTAGTGTTATCTTCCATATAGTTAAACCACATAAATATTCTTCATGGACGATTTCGAATATGAAAAGAAATATGGAAATAAATATAAATGGGGAAAATGGACGTTTTTCTGTAGTCAGTGTTTCGAAACTAATGTTATTATATAAAATAAATGTAAAATTCGTAAAAATAAAAGCATTTGAAAAAAAAAATTTAAATCGACGATACTGCAGTATATCAGAATGTCTCCTATACATCTCACGACGATGTTACAACTGTAATAGATTGAATCTTTGGTATAAATTCCAGCTCTAGAAATCGTCCATTATCACTTATTCAATGATATTTATTTGTTAAGTTTTCTTTAATCAAATTATGTTTTATGTGTAACAATAAAAAATGGTTCGCTGGATTTCATCTTAAGCAACCTAACTTTGAAATATTCCGGATTTAGATTCAAATATTCTATTTTGTTCATGTGAATTCACTTACTTTTCATTCAACTCATTTAAACTGAAATAAGACACCAATAGATTTAACATCTATAATCTTTTAAATAATTATCTATACTTGTGTTATCGTTGTTGCAAAAATATTTATGTTTTGAAAGTATTTGTAATTTTATCGTTACTATATAGTTTAATCATTTTGAATATATTTGTAAATTATTTTATTCTTAGTTATTATCTCATGTTTGTTTAAATGTAGTTTCCGTATTGGTATATAATATTTCATTAATATCTTAAATCTGTGATCATTTTATTAACAATAATTTGATGTTTATCTTCAGTTACAAATGCAATATTATCATTTCTCTGTGTTGTTATTTAATTCATTCCTGAATAATACTTACTATTAATTTACTTGATAATTTTGTCGTCTTTGTCTTTCTTTAGTTATTTTTACAATATTTTCATCCAGCTTTTTTTTTGTGTGTTCTGTAAAATATATAATGGAGACAGCTGTTAACGTTGATCTTTCCTTTATTGAGTCTCGTCAAAAAGTTACAAACAAATATCAAATACAAGTAATCACAGTCTGATTATAAGACTTGTTGTAAATGTACATGATACATAATGAAATTATCGAATATAAATTTAACTGACAAGTCATCTGTGTATATGGGGAAATTAGAGGTAGAGATAAATAAATCTTGGCTATGTGAGGGTTTTACAATATGAAAGCCAGGCCATAAATATCATTAATTGGTATTTAGCCAATTAAAACTAAAATTAATTAAGTTATATGAACATCAATATATATCTTCCAATGATTCTGAATAGAATTTAAGTCCTCACAATTATGCGTATTAAAACCTGAACTCAAGTTCTAATAATCATTATAAGGAACAGTAATAATAATACATCATAAGTACATATATTTCAATCAGATTCTAAACTGAGATAACAAATTACAAGATCTGACAGACAAAAACAATTTAAGATAATTTCATAACTTTGCAAGATAAAAGTATATATTAATATTTAAAATTCAATACAAAGAAATGGAACTAAATCTATTAATAATTAAGTATCAGAATTAAGGGGCAATAACTCATAAATAATTCATAAAATGATATCTAATTGAAACATACAATATTTCACAAGAGACTAATAAATTGTGCATAAAATGCTTATGGTTGAAAGCTTTACAATAGATAAACATTTTCAATTACGGGAACACTATTCTTTGCATTTCACAGACAAGAATAAAACATAAATATTTAACTACATAAATCAATGCAAATACAGACGTATGAAAGATAATATCGAACACAGAAAAATAATAATAAAATACAAAGTGTGTCAATTAACAATATGGAAATAGACTAAATGTACATTAGTAAGAAAGTGTGCTCACCTGTAAAATATATAATGGAGACAGCTGTTAACGTTGATCTTTCCTTTATTGAGTCTCGTCAAAAAGTGATACGAAAACTTAGATTTTATGAAGATCAAGCTGTTCTCCGGACACAGGCATGCGCAATGGTAAGCGTCGGTAAAATTCCAAAAATATCTAAATCACTAACAAGTGGGCTCCTAGCCATAACCTATTACGTAATGGCCACTCACCACACAAAGGGTGTTGACCAAGGGCTAATATAAAATACTAGTGTAAATCCTTAGTGCCGATACAATCACAATTGACCCTTCCGTGTCTATGACACTTTACAATTTAATTGCTTTAACTCTTCCTAACATATGAAAGGTTAAATATATCTTTGTTGACTTGTGAATGTTATAATTATGTAACAAGATTAATTGACCAAATGGACATTTAGTGTATAAAAAAATCTGTATTGAATAAATTGTACTTTTTAAAGAAATTCGTTTGTTCCAAATGAATTTCATATTTAACTTTGAGAATATTTAATTTATATATAGAAAATGAACTATTTAAAAGAAAAGAGAGAATTTTATCATGAAAATATCATTGCTGAAAATGTAGAACTGTTCTGCCGGATGTTTATTTTTGTGTTTGTGTGCATAACGAATATTGACAAAGCGTACAAATACTGGTGTGTTGATCAAGTAATAGAATTATTCTTGACCTTACTGGCGAGAGTAGTCTAAAAAAAAAAAGGTTGTACTACGTCCCTGCGGAAGGATACCATCAACTCTGGTCGTACTACGTCCCTGCGAAAGGATACCATCGACTCTGGTCGTGCTACGTCCTTACGGAAGGATACCATCGACTCTGAGTCATTTATCTCCAGTACTACGTGCAAGTTGCTAGGCTGCTGGGACCTTTTTAGTACTGAAAAGCATAACAGATAAGATAATGGCGGTTTCTCAACCTTGCTGAAATAAAGATTTGAGCAGGAAATTTATCGATCAAAACCAGATCAAGGAACCACGTGTTAACATCTGAATGAATAATGGTTGTCTCGTGAGAACAGGGCTTGGAACAATAGTAATTAAACCCTCTCAACAGTTTGTATTGTTTTCGTTTGTCTTTACCGTCCAATGTCTACCTCTTACGTCAACATGACATGAGGATGATACAATGTAAAATAATGATAAAAAATGTTTTTTTTACGATACGTCTATGATATATTGTCACGTGATATACATTTGAAGAACCAGTGGAAATACATCACAACAGTAAAATTTCGATCTGCATGTTTATTTATACTTTATACAAAACATACTATACTAGTGCAGATTAACAGCTTAGAAACCTTTGCTCTTGGACCTCAGCTAAGTATCCGAAGACAGTCACACACTCGTCTGTTCTCTACAGAGTTCGAACCCTTAGCTATAGACCTCAGTTAGGTATCCGGAAACAGTCACCCATACGTCTGTTCTCTACAAAGGAACTCCCCCCTCTCCCCGTATGAATAGACCTGAAGCCTTGACAGCCCCATTGACCTAAGGTCAACTCCCGGCTAAGCCATTAGCCGTGTCAATCTGTCGACTATCAGCACGGTCCCCCTTCCGGTGTCAATAAACACTGAAATATATAACAAATCATTCCCCATTACCATATATATGCCTTCTCCCCGAATGCATTATATACATGATTAAGAAGACACAATACTAATACATTACACTTCATAGTGATCGCACCTGTTCAAGTCATGATACCGCTCAGATACCATAGGTGCTCAATACATACACACTGTATAGTATAGTAATAATCCCGGAAAATGTGGTAATATCGCCGACCGTAGATATATTGATAAACAGACTGGATAAATATTGGCAAAATCAGGAACTGCTCTATAATTATAGATCTTAGAATCATTAACAAGTAACGTCGCATTCACTTTCATTTTAATTTTTATGTCATGTTTTTAGTCCGATGAAGAGGATCTTATAAGTGTATTGGTTAATAAACTTGACTTATAAGTTAGGTATGTTGTGTCCTATATCAAGAACTTAGATATGGAAGGAAAGGCGACTATATATAAGTCCGTGCATATATATAGTTTGTGGAAACAATATTGTCAAATAGCACTGAACTTCTTATCATTGACATAGATTTTAATTACAAAAAATGTATGAAACACTCAAACGAAAGCTTATTCGACAAAGTCGATATTGATATTTATAGTTTTCTAAACGTAAAATGCGTATTAAATATTTAATAGGAATGCAATTACCTGTTTGTTTTTCAAAAATATTTTTATTATAGAAAATATTATGTTAATTTAGAAAATGTGTATTGAAAAGATAAGTTTGTTTACAAATAAAAAAAAACAACGAGGCATCATTATTCCAGCAAATATAAGCTTTATTCTAGCAACCAATAAGATATTTCCACAAAATAGCTTTATTCTAACAACCAATAAGATATTTACAAAAAATATAAGCTTTATTCTAACAACCAATAACATATTTACAAAAAATATGCTTTATTCTAACAACCAATAACATATTTCCACAAAATATCATTATTAAACCATTACATTACGTCCAAGTAGTTTTAAACAAATTACTTAAATCATGTTTCAACTAATTCACCTGAGTTCAAGGTGTCAGGTCATCAATATATGCTTTACTGTCTGACTGAATGTTAAAAGACAGTTTCAAAACCCCTATTCAGGTTTGAGAGAACAATACCAGTTCAAATATTCTCCTTTCACATTGTATTCTCACAAAATCTGGTAAATCGTCTCAAGATCCTGTCTAGGACAAACCCCAAAGTTAGTAAAAATTAATTTTTAGCAACATTGTCATAGATATTTGAACGTATATTTGCAAAACCCGCTTTATATCACAATTTATATAGCTAGGAAGATAGCGATAGGAATTCGATATCATAAAATAGTTACAATTATTTTCTTTGATCAGCTCAACTAATGGAATGTCACGATATTCACATATAGCTTCAATTAACAGGTGTCCTCGACCTTCAATTTATAAAATCCTATTACACAACTATAAAAAATGCACCTTGTGCAATTAACATATTATCAAAATGGTTTTATTTCAATCTCAGTAGAGACTGTATACATGACACACAATTGAATAGTAATTCTTCATATATATTTTGAAATAAAATAATTTTGTGATTTATTGGGATTGATTTAGAATTATATACAAAAGGGCCAAATAATGGATTAACTGTATGTTATATCTGTTTCGTCCTTCCAGCAAGACAGAGTCGAATTATTATATTATTTAAAACACCAAGACAGCTAACTCAAAACTGAAGATGCCATCGGTAACTTTCAAAATACAAAGATGCGTCAATCTGAATATTGTAACAGATGTGATGGTTTTGTCGAATAAATTCCGATTGAATATCCCTATTTAGTCATTTTTAAAGTCATTTTTTTACTATTGCAAATGTTTTGGCCCATGCATCAGCGAACTGAATGTCGGCTTCTTCGAGATATCCTCGTGAATATAAATCTTTGAACAACTCCAATAGGTTTGGGTGATTTCTACTCGTTTCAGATGAAAGAAGATTCACAAATTGTTTACTTTTTTGGTACAAATCCAACTCTGCATTAAAATCTCTTAAAATATTGTGGGTATTTCTTTCTTGTGTGACATACGGTGGCGAAAATGCCAAGCGGACATCATTTTGGTGAAGAAAGAATTGAGCAATGTAGCTTCTCCAAATATCACTGACACGCCCATTTACACTGATAGGTAATGCTAGGTAAGGAAACGCCGACGGTAGCCATAAAGTCGCCTGGGCATTGAATGGGGCAAACATATTAGCTGGCACAACAATTGGAAGGTGAGATTTTGTTGTTGCGCGAAAGGTAAAAGGAGCGTCACGTGTAAGTCTATAAATAGCATCAATGTCCGGCTGTTGATTGGCTAATGATTGTACTATGCCCAGGTGGACAGTATCACTTGCGTGACAGAAGTTAGGCATTGAAGTTTTGTTTTTAATGTCTTGTAGTGGAAAACCTCTTGGCCAGGTATATGTTTCTGTGACACCGAAATAGGGATAGGGGTTCATAAGTGGATTATGAGTGGTGTTACAGATTGTGACGTAATCAAAATGATCTGTTTTGAAATCGTCCAAATCCACTATACCATTATTATCATCATCGAAGTCCCAGATGTATTTAGCTTTGTGATGTATAGCATACATGTAACCGATATTTTTCCTTCCAAAGTGTTGGATTGGGATAACATCCGCTAACAACGGGTACAAGGTATATTGTTCCTCCAACGAAAGATATTTTACTGTTTTTGATGTTTCTTTATTAAGTTCAATCTCAGAAAGGTATGCAGCTTCAGGTGGAGTCTTTGTGTCAGCTACTATGACCAAACACCAGTTTAAAAGCGATGATATATATTTCACAGCTTTCGAAGGAGGAAAAATTGTAGTAACAACCGCCCAGTTGTCACATGCTGGTATCTTGTCTAAAACTGCCAAACACTGATATTGCTTCGTTGGTACCTTGGGTAACCCTGACCGAATCACATCACCCGAGAACAGCGATCCTGTCACAGCACCAGTGTAGGAAATGTTTAAGGATGTGAGACGATTGTTATGTTCATGTAATTGTTTCATTATTTCCACAGATGATTTATGGTTCAAAATGAATTTGGAACAAAAGTTTGGCTTTATGTTTTGTTTAATTTCTTCATTGTCAATGATATGGACAATGATATTGTTATCAGGGCGGTAATCTACGTCATCATATATCGACAACCAGGATCCCAAAGATGTACCTCCAAAATTAGTATCGATTAAATCTATACTAGGATTACATCTCCTTCCATAACAATATTTTCGCTTTGAAATTCTTTCTAGTAGCTCTCTACCAAGAACTACAAACATTTCATCCATACGTGTACGTGTATTTATTTTCTGCCCCGAACCATGGGTCCATCCGTAATACAGTTTCGTTGATTTTAGTTGATCAATCCTTGTGAAAACTTGTGGAACACATAGAAAAACGTCATCATCAACCTTGGCCCCAAGTAAAACGTCTGGATAATTTTCATAAATATATTTAAACCACACATACAATTTCTCTCCGAATCTTACTGCCCTTCCTTGACTTGTGACATTCAGAAAAACAATATCGTTGTAGACTTTTTGTTCTATTATAGTCTCGTTTGTAGGGCGGTCGATAAGAAATTTATAAGTAATCGTGAACGGCAGCTGGTTTTGTAACATATTTACAGTTGACAGCCACGTCGATCGCTGTCCGTCCCTGTACGCGGTATTGGCATGTGATGTTAACATTCCTAATACGAAACGGGGTCTTTTAATTGACACGTGACTGTCATATACCTCGTTATAATGCGTATTCAGTGCCGTGTTGGAAAATGACATTTTCTTAAGAAAAGTCATGAAATAACAGACAATGAAGATAATCCCGACAGAGACTACGACAACCTTTATCTTGGGCTTTCGCAAATAGTTTCCGTTGTTCCATTTCATTTTGTTGCCTTTTAGCCGCTACTGGAATAATCTGAAAAGAACGATTTCCATATTCAATTAAAATATTCACAATTATCCAGTTAATGCAATAATAATTTATTTAACAGTAACCTTTGCTACAGTAAGTAAATATCGAAAAAATAACAGCGATTTTTTACATCGATTTTTTTATTCTTTTGTAAGTTTATATACAACAATGTTACTTAACACTGTGATATAAATTTTATACATTTTTAAGAGTTCCAAATGTTAAACGGTTTTACCACTTAATTATATAAAGAATGATAAGACAAATGTATATTATTCTAATATTATTAAGTTAGTTCATAACATCATTTACAGTTTTTGAGTCACCAGATATTTCATCCTTGCCTTTCTTTTAATAGATCTTATCCTTCATTGTGTATTTTTCAGTCTGTTTTATGTAAACGCGACGTTCATATATTTTTTCAGCCATTTCCCGAATAATTATAGCAGTAAGTATTGTAATTTTGCATTGTTTCGAAGGCAATTGGTTTGTGTGTATTAACGTTATTTAAAGTAACAACAAATAAATAAACAGTTTATTTCAGGGATTAGATTGAACGCGTTATTTTCCGTCTGTAGAGCACAATTCTCATTCTAATGTCATATTAACTTTCTTCCATTTCTTTCATTTGAATTCTAGATATATCTTGTTTAATAAATTGCTCCATTTTCACAGCTTTGTGTGAGAAAAATTACATGATATTAAAAAGTCTTATTCTTTTGCGAAATTAATCGTCATTGAGACGACAATAAATTTTGGGATCTTTCATTTAGGTATACTTGATAGTATTTCGTTGGAACGTAAAATACAACACGGACGCCAATAAATAATTAACAATTTATATAATAAACCAACAAATTCAAGATAGACCGATCACATGTTTTTCCCTACTAACAGTGTGTGAAAGTCACTTCCCTCACAGCGCTCGAGCTCGGGTTCTCGCGGTCATGGTGTACAAATACAGAGTCAAAGTTCTCTCTTTAACCCACTAGTTAAACTCTTAAACAACACATGGGGTCTGTCTTTTCTTCATCATGGTATCAGCATAGTCTTCTTCGCTCACCATCTTCCCGCCTCCTCTACCCAAGCCGATCATCCGAACCTCTCGGACTTCTTCGCGATAACATATTGCTTTTAATCGTAAACAATTTTACTTGAAATAAAAAAAAATTGGTTTTCAAACATGATACAAAAGTCTTTCTCAAAATCTCGCTCTCTGTCTCTCTCTGTATATATATATGGGGGTTGAGAACTATTATATAGAGGTTTGTCTCAAGTTTCAGCAATGGGATTGGTCATGAACTCTTATATTACACAAATGAAGGATTTTTTCTATTATCTTTAAATCCTATAGTTTTGTTTAATTACCAAATAACTACAATCAGAATACAATATTAAATCTCCTTGATCAGTTTTCTAAATCTATTACCCACGGTTCCATCTTACTAGCATCAAGTGCAAATAAAATGTAAATCTAAAAACAATTGAATTGGTTGAAAATCAATCAAATCTGAGAAAAAGACCAGCTCCGTAATGCTCCCGTTTACACACAACCTGGTAAATTTTTATATCTTATAAACGAATATCATTAGGCACACAATTCCTTTACTCCATCTAAAACAGTCCGTTACGATACAAGATCCAAACAATTCCTTTAATCCATCTAAAACAGTCCGTTACGATACAAGATCCAAACAATTCCTTTAATCCATCTAAAACAGTCCGTTACGATACAAGATCCAAACAATTCCTTTAATCCATCTAAAACAGTCCGTTACGATACAAGATCCAAACAATTCCTTTAATCCATCTAAAACAGTCCGTTACGATACAAGATCCAAACAATTCCTTTAATCCATCTAAAACAGTCCGTTACGATACAAGATCCAAACAATTCCTTTAATCCATCTAAAACAGTCCGTTACGATACAAGATCCAAACAATTCCTTTAATCCATCTAAAACAGCCCATGCTAAGATAGCATAAATAAAGCTAAATCGTATCACGCGGGTTTAATAACGAAAATAAAGATGAAACAATACCCATATCCTAATGCTTCTAATTATATTTTGTGTTATAATTTGGAGCGAGGCTAAAAGTCTTACATCAACGGTAAATTATTCAAGATTTGGGTCCTTCACCACGACTTTCGTTGAAAGAATGAAGTTCGATGTTTTTGTCACTTGTACAAAATTCTGGAAACAAATGTTGTCAGTACCAGGCCTTCTGTCAGATTTGTTTATCGTTACACCCCTTTTGAATGTAAGACCATTCAAAGATTGGCAGCCGCCCTTATAGAGAGAATATTTCCTAACAATTTTACATATTGTTTCTATACAGTGTTTGTGTTTAGTGAGCATTCGCTACACAAAATGTGAGCCGACCAACATAGATTTTCGTCAATTTTACCTCTCAGAAGGTTCTTTCATGCTTTATCTGTCCGAGATTCTCTTAATTTAATGACAGGTTAAGTACATCATTATTTCTACTTTCTGTTTGTGTTTATAACTTTACATTTATCATTAATCATTTAATTAATATAATACCGTCTAATGAATCCAAATTTTATGTTTGACCATATCAAAAGCTTTTGTTAAATGGTTTTCTCAATTATTCATGATACTGGGAAAGACAGTCTCACGTGAGTGATTTTTATGAAACCCTAATTGTGAGGAAACTTGTAGCTTATGATATTTTATGTAGGAATAAAACATCGATGAATATGTCTTTTAAAATATTTGACAAAACAGACACATTGTAAGACCGAAAGTGTCTTTCCAACTTGGAAATTTGTTAGATGTGTGTGGTTATGTATGTGTGTGTGCGCGCGTGTGTGTGTTTTTTCTGTTTTTTTTTTCAGTTAAATTAACTAAGCAGGGTGTTGCAGAAATATCCTAAACACCAGTCTATAACATTAACTAAGGAGGGTGTTGCAGAAATATCCTAAACACCAGTTTATAACATTAACTAAGGAAGGTGTTGCAGATATATCCTAAGAACCAGTCTATAACATTAACTAAGGAGGGTGTTTATTTGAAATAACATCCCAGCCTAAAGTTGATAAGCATACAGAAAAGATATCGATATGTAGCACATTTCATAGAACAACAAGGGAGGTAACTTCTCCATCCTTATTCTTGAGTACAGCTTTAGCTCGTCGCAGCACGAGCTACAACTATTTGGACAGTGAATTTAGTAGTTTGTGCCTTTGGCAGCAATGATTTCATTATTCGCTGATTCCTTTTTTAGATCCTCGTATATTACGACAAAAACGACGTAGTTATTATTGTTTTATATCAGAACATTTTTTCTAACTTAAGAAGTTCCAACGACTTCGTGTCCCCTTGCTGATTAAATAGAAAGTAAAAGTTCTTCATTAATAACCTCCTAACTGCAAAATACTGTCATCTTTGGTTAGGACTGAAGGCAGTCCCCTTGTGGTATTGTTGATTTCAGAATACATCTGAGTTGACGGTTTTTTTTCTCTTCATACATTGAATCTGGCGTCGGTCAGAAACAAAGGGGACTTTCAGTGTGAGTGTGTGTGTGTTGGGGGTGTGTGTTTGGAGGGGGATGGGGGGGGGGGCTTGGCAGGGTAGTATGGGAACTGACATGTTACTATAACTTATATGTTTACCCCGATATGGAATTCCGTGTCATGATGCTCAAGCAGAAAATTCGATTTGTTTTTAGATATATCATAAAAGATGATATTGAATTAGCACGCTTTTCTTATGACCCTGCTCATTTCAATTTCTAGAGTGCTCTTTTCCTGAGGTCATGCTTGGCAGACTATCTTCTAGTATTGTGTCCCCTGAGTAGAATCGGGGCTCTAGCATGAACTGTCTTTTCCTGCTGTCATATCAAAGTGTTGCTTTCCTGTTATTAGCTGATAATCTGAACAGCTTATTTTCTGAAGTATAAAATTTACTCTTTTTTCCAGACTGAATTCTGTCGCAGGTTCTGTTTAGATTATATTACATGTAAATAAAAATGTAAACTAGTTTGCTGAATTACACGGTTGTAATACTGACTAGTACATAGAAATACACTGTTGTAATACTGACTAGTTTACAGAATTACACAGTTCTGATAATAACTAGTACACAGAATTACACTGTTGTAATACAGACTAGTATACAGAATTACACAGTTGTAATACTGACTAGTTTACAGAATTACACAGTTGTAATATTGACTAGTATACAGAATTACACAGTTGTAATACTGACTAGTATACGGAATTACACAGTTGAAATACTGACTAGTATACAGAATTACACAGTTGTAATAGACTACTTCACAGAATTACACAGTTGTAATACTGACTACTACACTGAATTACACTGTTGTAATACTGACTAGTTTACAGAATTATACAGTTCTGATAATGACTAGTACACAGAATTACACAGTTGTAATACTGACTAGTTTACAGATTTACACAATTGTAATACTGACTAGTTCACGGAATTACACAGTTCTAATATTGACTAGTACACAGAATTACACAGTTGTGATACAGACTTGTACACAGAATGACCCAGCTGTAATACTGACTAGTACACAGAATCACACAGTTGTTATACTGACTACTACACTGAATTATACAGTTGTAATACTGACTAGTTTACAGAATTACACAGTTCTGATAATGACTAGTACACAGAATTACATTGTTGTAATACAGACTAGTATACAGAATTACACAGTTGTAATACAGACTAGTATACAGAATTACACAGTTGTAATACTGACTAGTACACATAATTAAACATTTATAATACTGACTAGTTTACAGATTTACACAGTTGTAATATTGACTAGTACACAGAATTACCCAGCTGTAATACTGACTAGTACA